TATACATCGTTATTTTATTTTATTTGATCTTATTTTATTTATTTTATCTATCTTATTTCATTTTATTTAATTGTATTTATTTTCTTTATTTTATTTTATCTATCTTATTTCATTTTATTTAATTGTATTTATTTTCTTTATTTTGTTTTATTTGATCTATCTTATTTCATTTTATTTAATTGTATTTATTTTCTTTATTTTGTTTTATTTGATCTATCTTATTTCATTTTATTTAATTGTATTTATTTTCTTTATTTTGTTTTATTTGATCTATCTTATTTCATTTTATTTAATTGTATTTATTTTCTTTATTTTGTTTTATTTGATCTATCTTATTTCATTTTATTTAATTGTATTTATTTTCTTTATTTTATTTTATCTATCTTATTTCATTTTATTTAATTGTATTTATTTTCTTTATTTTATTTTATCTATCTTATTTCATTTTATTTAATTGTTTATTTTATTTTTTATTTATTTTATCTATCTTATTTCATTTTATTTAATTGTATTTATTTTCTTTATTTTCTATCTTATTTCTTATTTCATTTTATTTAATTGTATTTATTTTCTTTATTTTATTTTATCTATCTTATTTCATTTTATTTAATTGTATTTATTTTCTTTATTTTGTTTTATTTTATCTATCTTATTTCATTGTATTTATTGTATTTATTTTCTTTTCTTTTATTTTATCTTATTTTATTTATCTGTCTTATTTAATTGTATTTAATTGAATTTATTTTATTTATTTTATTTTATCTATATTATTTCATTTTATTTAATTGTATTTATTTTCTTTATTTTATCTATCTGATTTAATTTTATTTAATTGTATTTATTTTATTTATTTTATTTTATTTTATCTTATTTTATTTATTTTATCTACCTTATTTTATCTTGTCTTATCATATCTTATTTATTTTATATTTTATTTTATTTTGTGAATTGTATTAAAATATATATTGTTCTTGTTAGTTAATAGTTAATGCATTAACTAATGTTAACAAATTAAACCTTATCGTAAATTGCTACCAATTAAATAAATATATTCACCTAATTGCAGAAAATGCAGTGACATTTTATATAAAATATATTTTATTTATTTTATTTTATTTTTACTATGATAAACAGTCA